CCACCACTGGTTCTGCACCCCTTTACCTAAATTCATTACTTCAGAGTTATGTGCCCTCTAGAAGCTTGCATTCTACAAGTGAACGGCGCATTATTGTGCCAATCCAAAGAGGCACAAAATCACTTTCACTGACTTTTACATTAAATGTTCCCACCAAAAAAAACTTGTCTCTTTTAGACTTGCACTCTATTCATTTACTAACTGCTTGTTTTCTTTAAAAAAACAATTTTTCTATCTTTTTGTATTCTATCTATTTGTTTTTTTATTTATTATACAATTAACAAAAAGCATAAAACAGAATATTCTAAACTTACTGCAGTATGACCTCGGCCTCACTGCGCAGTGACTCGTGGCTCTGTTCCACCACATTACGGCCAATCACGGTTAATGACTAGTGGTCACGGCAAATCAGAGTTAAGTGGGAGAATTGCGCACAGTGCTTGGCTGTCTCTGATTGGTTAAATTGTTTGATTCTATTAGCAGTGAAAACTCTGAGACTGCTGTCTCCTCTTGGCAGTCGTAGAAAACAGAGTCACATTTTAAACATATCAGTCAGATGCAGACAGATACTCCCCTCCAGGGGCCGAGCTGCACATGCATTACCAGTCTTGGTTAAACATACACTAATGCACATATTTTTCCATTTTAGCAAGTATTATGTGAAGTAGCGCTTGATTATATATATATATATATATATATATATATATATACATATTAGTCCCCTAATTTTCAAGATACCTTTTTGGTTAGGATGCTGCCTTTGAAGATTGCTGCCCTAAACGGTGAATCAGCTTATTTGGTTTAAAAAAAAAACAAAGTTCATGTGTTGTAACAATACCACACATGGATCTTTTTTTTCCCCTGGCTTTTTACCCCCATGCCCTGTAACCCATGGGAAACTAGATCTCTGATGCCCCAGAGCGGAACACTGGAAGCAGACTTTAGGACTGCATTAGTGCACAGTGATGTGTCATAACCCTCATACCTCAGGTGTATGGTGCGTATTAGCATGGTGGCCAGGCTAGCCGACACTCTCCCAGTGTTGCAGACCTGACTGAGACATGCCAGAAGCTCTGCGGGAAACGTTGGCAGGAAATGGAGAATCTGAACCAGCCTCTTCTGGGACTCCACAGGCAACACCACCACAGAGCCCTCCTGTGGATCTACAAAGTGAGACATGCATATGTATCACACAGATGAACACAAACAGAGAAATGTTAATATAATAGATCTGCTCAGCTTGGAAACATTTTACAACATAAATTGTCTACAAATAATGCTAACCACTTTTTTAATTAAATAAAATCAATTAAAAAATGTTTTTAAAACTTTTTTCCCTTAAAAATTCCTGGCCCATGGTGAATTACCATTGGGGTTCCACAGCTCTATTTTGAGATAGATTATCCATTCTGAATGTGAAACTTGAGAAAGGAAAGAGCTCCCCCTAGTGACATATTTATGTATCTGCTAAAGCTCAACCATGAGGGAATGAATGTCTGTGAGAAAGAGAGAAAGAGGTTTGTCCTGTCAGTGATCACAGATAGACATTATTAGCTGCTGACGCACGCTGCAGATGTCATGAGTGCTAACACACACAAAGGGAGCGCTGTGCTCCCGAAACACAAAACTTCAGAGAGCTGATATCACACTCAGAACTGGAGACGCCACCACTCTAATGCTCACCCTGACTACCGCCCGATCTCTTACACAAGACTCTCTCGAGCACACACACGTTATCGAATTGAGAGAGTATGTTAGACAGTTGTTTGTCAGTATATATTCTTACCATAAATACTGCAGGCATTTTTCTGAAGACTCTGCAGAAGGTCTTTATTGCCCCTCGCGGCAGCTGGATGGATTGTCTCCAGCAGTTGTGCTGAGAGCTGAGGATTCCTGCTGCCCAGCTGAACCAACTGCACCGGCAGTGATGCCAGCCAACGCGCCAGAATCCTGCTCCTGAAAGAGAGGGAGACTTCAGACTCGTCGCAAAGATAGTCAATTCACTTAAAGGGTTAGTTCACCCAAAAATGGAAAATTAGGCTGCGTTTTACTCACCCCCGAGGCATCCTAGGTGTATATGACTTTCTTCTTTCAGACGAATCCAGTCGGAGTTATATAAAAAATTGTCTTTGATCTTTCAAGCTGTTTAATGCCACTCAGCAGGTATTCCATTGCTTCAGTCCAAAAGAACTTAAATAAAAATCGCCCATCCATAAAAATGTCTCACACAGCTCCGGGGGGTGAATAAAGGCCTTCTGTAGCGAATCGATGCGTTTTTTTAAGAAAAATATCCATATTCAAAATGTAATGATCACTTTAATGTAGCTTGTGCCAACAGTTATACACAGAAGCAGTTCCGGGTGGATGACATATGAGGTCAGCGTTACGCATGCGCCGGTGAGTCTCGTGAAAACCGGCATTAAACAGCTTGAAAGATCAAAGACAATTTTGAATATAACTCCGACTGGATTCGTCTGAAAGAAGAAAGTCATATACACCTAGGATGCCTCGGGGGTGAGTAAAACGCAGCCTAATTTTCATTTTTGGGTGAACTAACCCTTTAAATACAATTGCTTTCACAAACAAACCTGGACTCATGGAAAAAAATGGCAAAATTATATGACAACTAAAAAGACAAGACTACACAAAAAGAATATATAAACATTAACATTGTGAAACAAAAACAGAAATATTGTGAAATATTATTACAATTTAAAATACCTGTTTTCTATTTCAATACATTTTTAAATGTAATTTATTCCTATGATGGCTGAGCTGAAATTTCAGCTACCATTAATCCAGGTTTTAGTGTCACATGATCTTTCAGAAAACATTCTAATATGATTCAGTGCTCAAGAAACATTTCTTGTTATTATCAATGTTGAAAACGGTTGTGCTGCTTTATATTTTTGTGAAAATCACATCTAAAATAGAAATCTTTTGTAACATTGTAAATGTCTTTCTGGTCACTTTTCATCAATATGCAATATTCTTGCCGAATAAAAGTTTTAATTTCTTGTAAAAAATCGTGCTGACCCTAATCTAAATGGTAAAGTGTGTACATAAATAACATAACCAGAAAGGCCAGAAAACACTGATGTTGAAAAAATGAGAGAGATCAGGGCCAGGCAAAAATGGTTGGTGGGTACCTACCGGGCAATATGAGGGTGGTTCTGATGCTCTTGAATGTAGAGCTGACTGAAAAAGTGCAGCAGCAAAGTGCGGACGCTCACAGCCAGGTTCCTCTGCTGGTACTGCACATACACAGCCTGCAGGAGATCGTCTGTCACCACTGAAAAAACAGTGTTTAAAAATTTTTTTTTTAATTGTTTTTTAAAAACAATTTAAATTCAGCAGACCATTATTTAAAAAAAAAAAAGTAAAGAAAACAGGCCTCACCGCGGCTGCGCTGGGTGACAATCATCCTCCACACCACCTCCAGTAAGGCTGCCAGGTGCTTTGAGCTCAGCTTGCCCCCACTGGACAAGGTCTCCCTAATAAATCCCCTGATTGGTCCGAGCCAATCAGCATCTTCGGCTTCTACGTGATCCTGGCCCCTAAGACTGAGTGTCACCATAACTTGGCACAATGTCACGTTTAGGGCCAACGGTTCCACATTGCCGCCAGCAACCATTCCAGCTGCTACCTGCTGCTGCCTAATCCTGAAGACAAATTAGAGATAATTACCCCCTTATAGATCAGTAGTTCTCAGTCGCTTTTGCATTAGAAAGCTTTCAAGGGGGCTGCAGGATTAAAATGATTTCAATTAATATTAGTAGTAATAGTAATAGTAGTAACAAACATATGATCATTGCTTTCAGTAAAAAGCTCAGATTGCTTTGAATACGATTTATAGAGTGTAATTTACTTTAATGGATAATTGGGTAATCTACTATAATGTAATTTGAACTGCATTTTTTATTTTATAATGTATATAATTTTTATTTTGTTATTATTTTACACTTTTTGTTCAACTGATATAATAGGTATAGGGGACTAGATAGGGGTTATTTGTTTGTTTTGTTTATAAAATATGGCATGCTTTAAATAATTTGTTTTGTTATAAATGTGACATGCTTTAAATAAAATACATAAACTGAATTTAAAACGCTAAAAAAAACCATCAATTTAAATGTAAATTAAAATTCAAGTACATACAGTTCTTGAAACTTCTGGAATCACAAAAATGAAATGTGGTTCATTAATTTACATATACCAAAACACTCTCGGTTTCCATTAATAAAACATTTGGACTTTTTGGTCACCTCTTTCCATCAGCTTTCTTCCTGTGTCTTGCCACCTCCAGCAGGCCATAGGGGAAGTTCTTCATGAAGTGGTGTTTGAAATCTGTCAGGTATGAATTCCGGAACCAGGCGTCCTGCAGGGTACAGCAGAAACAGGGTTTATGTGATATTTATGTGTGGTTTATGTGGCTATATAACATTTTAAGTGTATGTACCAGTATGTCCTGTTGATCTCTCTGTGGGGTAAGTCTTCTCAGTAACTGCAGTATGGTGAGGATCTGGAACATAAGAGCCATGGCCTCTGCTGAGAGCAGGTGGCCGCTGTCTGTCTGCACACGATCTCCACCTGCCGCCTCCACCCAGATCTCCAGCATCAGAGGCACCAGGGTTCCTGCAAAGCCCTGCACCGTCTCAGCCGAGCAGAGCTCCTTATTCATTCCAGCCACTGCCTTAGAGTCCGGCCTGCACAAAACCAACATAACCAGGAGCTGTATACTGTAAACACATGGCCTTTCTGTCTTTTGATCAAACTGAAAAAAGTACAAAGTCTCAGCGATATAATGGGACAATACTGTCGTGCAAATTTTGTTACCTGACCATGATAACATTGTGTTGCTATTCAGGACAGCTTGCCAGTTTATGCAGTCTGACATTCTGTTTTATTCTGTAATTTGGAATACATCAAATCCAGATGGGTTGACAAAAAAAAATCCCCTTTGTTACAAATGTATATAAAGTGTAGTGAAACATTGTCAAATTAGCTCCTCTAGTTCAAACAGCAGAGCATGGAGCAAACAAAAATGCATATATCTTGAATGCAATGTAAGTCACTTTGGATAAAAGTGTCTGCCAAATGCATAAATGTTATTTGCTAAATTAGTGCAGACGTGACAAATAACTGTCGCAAATAAACATTTGCAACAATTATTTAAAATTTTATAGATATTTTGTGTGAGCAAATATGCGGTTTCATCAGTTAGCATGCAGTTAGCTGAGGTCATAATAAAATTTCTCTTTGAAGTAATTTTTCTGTTATGTAATTTTAAATTAATTGGGAACCATTTATCACACTGTTCACCAATATTAACCCATTTACAGTACAAAAATATGATGAGATTAATCATAAATTCATTGTATTGTTGAATCTGCTGCCTGCTCTAGTTTCATTTCGCTAGTCACATGAGACTGTTTACTTGTTGCCAAATTATCCATTTAATAAGTTACCAGATGCTGGCATTGTACTGAAGACAAATTTTTGGTATTCTAATGTGCAAAATGTGCACACAAAGAAAGAAGGCGTGGTTTCAGGAACAGCAGTAGTGTTGATGCAGCCATATCAGGGAGATGCTGTGTTTCAGTGCGAAAGCAAAAGCACTTTATTTGGCCTTCCGGAAGTAGATGCAATTAGGAATCATTGGTTACGATTTATTTACAACAGAACAGCACAACCCAGATGTTCGAATTTGTGCAACGCATT